TCTTATGGATTACAATTCTAACTTTATTTGAGCGACGTTTCAACCAGTGTTCTCTAGTCTTTATCAAGCAATGAATAATGTGACAAAGATTAACAAGCATATATATAGGTAAAGAGAAAACAACATAACAAAACAAAGGATTAAGAACCCAATTAAAGTATTTAACTTCTAATGTTTGATAAGGTGATCATAGGCTCTGGGAATGAAAACTCCAGGATCTCTGTTGATTGACGGATTATGTCTTCTTATTTGGATGGCTTCAATAATTTTCCTTTCTTTCTTATTGTTTTTGTTGATGGCTAAAGTAATGGTTTCATTCCAATTTACTTTGTGGCCTGTTACTTTTATATGGTCTTGGATTGCTGAGGACCTTCGTTCGATCAAGTAACGAAGGTTGTCTTCTTGTTCAAAGTTATGCTTGGCAGAAGTTGTTCGGAGAGCGTGCTTTTTCCATAAGGCAGAAGCCATCCCTCATTGACAGTTTTTAAATCCAAATCAAAAATTTTATGTATAAGGCAGATGTACATGCTTTTTTTTTAAAGACGAGGATTTTTTGTTGTTGAAAGAATCGATTATTTTCCTTGAAGTAGGCTTTATTCCTTCACATGTCGCCGGACTTCCTGGGGATGACCCGAAAGCATTGATAAAAATTTCGAAAGAAATCCGCGATATTCACTTTTATATTTGTGATTTCAAACCGCTTTTAAACGTTTGTCATCTGAAGGGGTTAATTTATCATTTAAAGGGGTTAATTATCACGCTAAGAGTAACAACTGAATGAAGGAAACAGTATATCTGTTATGATTTTATTAGCTATGCAATGGTTAGAATAACAACAAGGTTAACTCCCTTGAAGTTGATTTCTGAACAAGGGCTACAAATGGAGTTAACCAAGTTGTTATTCTAACCTTGTCTGTTTTTTGTTTTGGTTAAACAAGGTGACATCTCAGTTCTGAGTCGTGAGAAAACGATAGACCACTATTACTTGGAACTGAAAATAGAAAAAACATCCAATCATACTTTAGTCTCAGAAACGGGAATGTTTTAGATTGCCAATCAGTAATAGTGTTCAAAGTTCACCATCAAAATTTCAGCCTTCAAATTCATGTGTGTCCAGAATTATCCGCGTTAAAATAACTAGTCAATTTAAGATACTCTGTGATATATAAAAAGATATATATATATAGAAATATAGTAAAATTCCTAGTTTTAAGTTTCCTTTAAGGAAGTATGCCGCCACTCTCCTTTGAAGATGCTATTACATCTTCTTAAGTAGAACGTGCAACTCAATGTCTCAATAAAATAACTGATAATGGTTAAAGCATTGAGCTATTACTTACGATAAGGCGAGTTTATAGCGTTCAACACAGCCCAACCAGTAATATCCACCAATTCTTTCTTCATGACTGCACCGACTGGTTGAATAATTTCAAATTGACAATTAAGAGCTGAACATACTTTATCAGATAAACTACCTAAATACTGTACGCTCAGTTTACCATCATCATGAAGTTGGGTTACCTTTGAAATTAAAATCATACGATTACCTCGAGAAAAAGTCGAAGAAATCTCTCGAATTAAAACAATATAAAATCGTAATTGTTAAGTTTATCTTTCCTGTGTTCAGAACTTTTAATATTTCTAATAATTGGACTGATGCAAATAGAAGTTGCAATGGACCCAATACATGGACACCTCTTTTGATTCCCTTAAAATGTTAATTTTTGACGTCCCTCCAGTGTTCCATTATTTAAGCGATATGGTCCTCTCTATTTCCTTACCTTTATTGGAGTAGTCCCTTCCACGTAATGCAAAACGACTTGAAGTTTGTCAGTTTTCAACCAGTAAAAATTAGTTTCACCAGTATATAAGAGTAACTTATTCTTCATAAGCTCCAAGGTTTTTTCTTCACTGCAATGTCAAGGATTTTACAATAAACTACGGGAATATCACCTTGCTGTGGCAAAAGTTCCTTGTATTGTCATCGGTAGATATCATTTCCATACAGCGTTTTCCGATGACGGAAGCATCTATTTTCATATACGAGTGTTTATGAGCAATTATGGACCAACGGACATGAGTGACGCCATTATACGAATTTCGTGTGAGCGTTTAAAAATAGCAATTGTTGACTTTACCCGTCAATGTTAAATTTTCCAGTCATCATGTTCGAGTTGCGATCGACATTTTCTTCCCCATATCCATCATTAGCACGTGAAAGATTATATCTGTTGACGATCTCTTCCAGTTTCTCTGTAACAAAAAATGTTAAGATGTTATTGAGTGTTATTAAATCAGGTATACCAGACCTGGTCATAGCTTTATGTGGTGTCCGTGGAATGTCTCTTTACAGTGATTCAAAAAGGTTTTCTTGAAGACGTATCTGACAGAGGGCAACGACAGAAAAAAGCCCATTACATTTTCTAAATGAAGTATTTGCTCCACCTACGGCCTTTACATTTCGGAGAATCTAACCCTTCCTTGCCCGAAACCTACGCTTATCTGAATGTTTTAATCAACAATATCTTGTTATTCTGAAGATTTCAACGAAAAACCTTGTAGAGGCCCAACACTAAAAGTTCAAACTTCTAAAGTAACAATAGAACATTTCGTTGTTTAATCAATCAAGACAAGCAAAATTTTGGAAATTATAATTAAAAACGTTTTTAAAAATTAAATTTGGCATACTGCCTCGTAATTACTGGCAGATGCAATCATTCGTTCATTTTCATGTTAAAATTGGATCATGTATTCGGCCTGTAGAGTGTTAGAAATCTGCATCCATCGCTCCAGTTGATTCCGGTTAATTTGTTCGATATGAATGCTTCATAAATGTTGATTTTGAGTGCTTTATAGTTAGGTTAATGTTACAGACTTATTAAAAAACGAAATTAACCGTGTTAGTGGCAGAAAGTTTCCAGGTATTTTTTACACTATGAATTGATAAAGAGGTTTATTGTCAATGAGAACTTCATTGAATAACAATCATATCATTCAAGAGATGAAAAAACTAGAAAATATCTTTTGATACCCTTGAAAATGCTAAGAACTAATTGTTAAATAAGATATACTGACTTACCATCTGTCGTTCCTTCAACGAACATAACACAGAAACAGAAGACTATGATAGTAACAGATGACAGCATCTTTCAAATATTCTTGATCAACGTATGTGTTTCTGAGCTGTATAAAACATCCACTTCCAAAATAACTGATATCGCAGACCGTGTACAGCAATATATACGTTTATGTAGCCATTTGAGTTCCACATGATGGTAAATGATTTGTTGAAATTTTTAAATTGACTTAAACCACGCCTATTATTCAGATGCCAATAGTTAGCATTAAAATAATTTCAAAACTAAAGCTATAGATTATCGATATGGTAGAATATATTATTCAGGGAGAATCCTGAGGTTTTTTCAATAACCAAAAATTCATCTCAGACAGCCTCAAAGCCTCAAATGTTTCGATGTTCTCGAAGACACGTGTGGTTTGATTTTCATATAAACCTCATAAATTGGCAGGAAAACTTTCTCTTGTGAAAGCTATACGATAACCAAACATTAAGCTGGTAGGTTTCCAAAGAAACTTCTCTTTCATGTTAATTTGTTCGAGTGTCTGTATAAGAAGTCCCCTGTGATTCAGGTTTCCAATAACTAGCTTTGCAAACATTAGACCAGACCTCAAGAATGTCTGCCATTGCGAAAGTGATGCTATGCACTTAATGTGAGCAGCGTATATTGCTCACATAGGCTCAATTTTGTTCTTCAATGGGTTGTTTCAGGCAAAATCCCAGCACAAAACCTTCCCTTGCAATCTCCCAATTAATGGTGTTCAACAGTGTGAAGCACGAAACGTGGGACCAAGTCCAGCAAGTCAGCAATCTATTTATCCCTCAAGGTCGTTTTTGGAATAGCTTGTTTGAACTTCTGGGATTACCGGTAAGTAACCTTTCGTGCTAACTGTAGCAAGTCAGCAAGAAAGCAATTTTCAGTTTTGGAATTTGGCATGCAGATCAGATATATAACATAAATTTGACGATTCCTGGTCTCAGAAAACAGAAATGTAGACTTTTCAGTTTTCCATTTGTCATTCGCAAAAATCGCATTATAAATGTTCGGCGGCCATTTTGGCGTCATCCAGTATTTCATACCTTTGGTATTTTCAGACAATTTACCAAGTACGCGTTTGTTTTCAACCAAAAACTGCTAGAATTGGCAAATATTCCTACTCTGTTTTTGTCTTATTTGAAGATTAATGTTGCCTTCAATTTTTCTGTTGCATGGGCGTATAGCTTTTAGTTTGGCCACAATTTATATGATCATTAAATAAAATGTAGCTATTAATTTAAGTGTATCAATTTCCCTGTTGCTATTTATCTCGTCATCACGGTTCATTTGATAAATTTCATTTTATATATCATATATATTATACTTATCGCAATTTTCCTAATATGCTTGTCACACTAGGAAAAGCAATTATATTTTTGACTACAAGTGTATCTTTTCAGATGAGAGGTCAAACACAAGTAAAATTATATTTGGTTAATATGATAAATTAATCAGTAAGTCTAATCTTCATTTTTTTCAAATTATTACGAAGCCCAACGAAAAATTCAAATTGTTCAAACTATAGAGAAAGTTTACTGTTGGAATTTTATTCACATATGCATCATTCATTTAAACAAATAATTTTAAAATTTGTTCAAGAAAGTAATTTGTCATGAATAGCGCATATCTGAATTAAATTTCATCGGTAAACTTGCTCTTTAGCGCACATTTAAAACGAAAAAAGTGCAAAAAATAAATAACTAAAAAACAACTTTCATCAAATAATCCTTTACTTAATCTTTTGGTTGACCACTCGTTTCATATCAAAAGAGATATAATCATATATTAGAATTTTAACTATGGCATCTATGAGTTGAACTGTATGATTTTGTTTTAGATATTTATTTATTTATTTACGCCTTCCATGTTCTATTTATCTTTTTTTATTTCAAACGACACATAGGACACACGATGACATGCGTTTCCGACTACTAGTAATATCTTTAACAGAGAGTGTCTGTAAGTTGACAGCAATTTGGTTCCCGAAAATTAAGTTCCTGTTAATTGGGGTGGCAGTAAATTTTGGTAACAAAGTATAATTGTCTCGTCATTTCGTTTAAAGGTATATTGCTCACCGTAACTTTGATCAATATACTTACTCATTTAACAAATAGTTTGACAAGTTAGATAAACTAGTCTTAGTAATAGATTGGTCGCCACAAAGATCTTCCTGAGCAATTCTGCGATCAAAAAATAATTTTCGCACCATTATTGGCCGAGCGAGCTTCACATGACACCAAGAATTTGTTTGGACATAATTATATGACGTGCTACAGTTGGAGTGAGATCTGGATTCTTTTCAAAAAATGTCGGCTGCACATTTCACAACTACCTCGCTTTTCTTGAAATACGAGCCAGTGTACCCCATAATTTTGCAAACGTATATTATTAGTTACAGACAGTGCGCCTCGTGTTCTCTTTTGTGGTGGTAAGTTGGTGACAGTGTCATTGGTCATCCTACTTTAGATTTACGAGGATGGAAACAGATCTTCTAAATTCTAATTCCAAACGGATGTTGATGCTAATTCTTCTTTCTATGACTTTCTGTCATGTTACCAGTATCTACTCGTCTGGACAGATGACATCGACATCTAATCTGGATTCATACTTTTAACTATAGCAGTCTTTCCACTTGAAATTTGAAACTTATTTCTGGTGCCTTAGACACCCAGTGCTGACTTTCAAGATGGCTTTCGACAATAGATCAGACAGGCAGACCACATTTATTGGCTTTGATAGTGCCACATGCTCTAATGTTTTGAGTTGGTAATTTTTTTAAGCAAAGTAATAGATCGAACCCTCTTTTGATTGGCTTCATTATTTTTTCTTTGTTTAATGCTGTACCGTCCTTTCATCAATAATCTCTCTGTCTTGATAGAGAATGGTAACCCATCATCAAATTGATTCTAATGAAATTCTCATTTTTGTCCCTGTTTTGTCAGGACGATCTAGGAGCGCTTCATCTTCACAACTTTCTTCGTTTGGGACATAATTCGAGTTGAGCAATATAAGGATATTTTCGAGAAGAAAAACGGTATGAAAAGAAAACAGTCGGTATACCATTGTGATATTATTGTGATTATATTCTGCGATACCAGACGTAAAAAGGTTTTGCCGCTGAACTCATATAAACGTATAGCAACCCTATCAATATATTTGTAAATTCACTCAGTTATTTTATGCTGATCAGTTTTGGGATTATTTTTTAAATGAACCAAAATGACTGTTAAGAAACCATTTATATCGCAATACACAAAAAATCATCTTGGTCGTCTGAAAGTTGTTGTTGTCAGACCCATTCTGTAATATCAAAGAATATCAGAATCACGTTTTAACCAAATGACATTATTTGACCTCTAATGTGATTGAAAGTCATTTCGACAGGCTTTTGCTAATTACCCTGTAAAGAATGTTTCAAATTGTCGCACATTATGTATTGCATGGTGTTTCCCGCCATTTTGATCCTACTGTGGTGCAGAAGAGTCGGACTTAAAACTATCTTATGGTATTTCACTCACTAATGGGAGATAACTGAACTCGGCTTAATATCAAAAGGATATCCCTCTCAATTATTGACCACACCTCTCTTATTCATGACGTCATACAAGGGAATCTCTTTACTATACTATTGCTATACATTACTAACTAGTCGATGATGCCAATTCTAATGGAAGCTACTGCAGATAAAAATAGCAGAATCAGTTTATGGGATTGAAGACCATATGTGAAAGGATCGGGTTACCAATAGAGGGTTCCGATTGGCTAAATTATGGCAGATATTACCCTCAAACTGATTTGGTATAAGTTGGGGGAGAGCGGAGGCAAAATGGCGGAGTGGTATTCAAACTTGAATTGGGAGGATCATATCTTGGATTTTCTACTTGTAGGATGGATCGTGGGGTCCGCACTTTTGGTGGTACTTGCCAATGGACTATCAAAGATCATTGGACCTCTCAGAATCCGAGCTTTGGATAGAAAGAGAGCACTTTCTGGTAGTAGTTCCAGTAGCAGGGCCGTGACTGGAACCGAAAGTTGTCAATGGCTAAATAATGGCATAAATTGGTTCTTCCTGAACTATTACCGGCAAGCGGATTTTATTGATGCTTGGATCAAACAGTTAAATGTCGAAGTCAAGAAACTCGGGGTAAGTGTCTATTGTATTATTTAGCGAATTAAGTTTGGTTGACCCTCTGTATTTGACCTAGAAAATATTTACACCGACTGTCAAAAGTCTAGCAGACGAATTTCTAATGGGTTCATGTGATGTGCGTGTGCCAAGAGCTGCTGTTTGACGTCTGGAATTAGCACGAGGGGGTCTCAAATTTTGTTTTCGGGAATCTAATAATAGAATCGTTTGAGTTACAAGTCTTGGTATTTGGTTATCCCAATAAGGAATAGATTGTTGCTTGAAGATACATCCAGTCGGTATTGAAACAGTCGTTCTTCATCAATACATGTAACATGCAATGATGAACATATCTTATTAACATGTGAATATCCCATTATACCACGTCTATACTTTAATTAAGTGTAAGATTTCATTCAAGTAGAAAGGAAAAAAAAGAATCCTTTAAGATGTAAATTTACTAAGTGCAACAATGTTTAGATCAACATTTTATTATACAGTAATTTAAAGAAATATTTGTCTTAGAATGAACATAAAAATTTAAGAATTTTAAACTTGGCCAATAAGAGCATATATTCATCAGTAGATATACCTGGTGTCATAAATAACATAACAGGATCCTTATATAATCCTGATAAATTGAAAAATCTTAGTAATTATCCAAAAATATGCAATGAACTATTGACCATTCCTGAGAACAGAACTCTTATTTTTATATTTATGACTTTAAAGAAAAGCTATAACTGTGACATACTGTCTTCTATAAAATGTGGTAGTTATATAGATGAATAGTCTTTTATTAACGGATTATCTCATTATTAGGTTTTATTAGGTTTAAAGAAGGTCTATCAATTATGTGGATCAACAACTCACTGAGAACAAATTTTCATACAATTATGACAGTAATAAAAGCAATCTGATTTGAAAATTTAAATTCGATACAGTTTTTACAATTGGTTATTTAGCTGGAGTTGTCTATGGACATTTTGAAACCTGTTCTTAAAGCTATCAAAATTCTGAGGAAATATATAGAGTTTATTAGTTAATAGAAATAAGATTAAGATTTATTGTAAAATAAAAAATTTTTAGCTCTTAAAACCTAAAGGTGACAGAAAGAAAAAAAATAAAAAAAAAATTTTTGAAAGGATAACAACTTAGTTTCACAAGGATCTTGTCCTTGACCTATGAATTTAAAAATGTCATTGAAATAATTCCCAATTTGGCTTGAAAAATAATAATCTAAAATTAAGACTTAAAATACTATCATCTTTAAAAATTTACAATCGAAAAAAAAAATGGTTGAAGGATTTTTTTTTAAATGCTGAATTCTACCTTTATTGACACTTAATGGTAGAATTCTATGATGGTTCCGGACATGTGAAAGGATGAAAGCCAAATCTTGTATGTTTATGGAGCTGAGACATTCTAATACAAATTATATGCATTTGAAAATTTTACATCAAGTACTTCTAAAATGATAGAAGAAAAAATTCAATTTAAAATTCAGAAATCAAATCAGTGGGATAGGAGGACATAAAATTATATAGATCAACTATCAGAATAAATTGATTTTCGTTCAAGTATAGAACATAATTATTGATTTCCAGTGAGAGGTTATTAAATATTTTAAATTGGATATTTATTTTAATGCAGATACATAAACACAAAAACAAAATCAAATTCCAACAACATATATGTATATATATCACAGTATATACCCATATATTACAGTACATATAGGCACTTACAGAATCCATCCATACACAATAATTCTCAAATGAAATAAGTTTATTGAAAATAGAATAGAAGACCACATTTTTATTAGAAGTATCTGAATATTAGGCTCATATTTATTAGTTTATAATTTTATTGTTAGTTGGTTGTAGCCTATAATACAGATATCTAACAGGAATATGAGCATTATTAGATATTTGAGTTGTTTTATGTAGTGTAAGTTTTACACCAATACTTTATATTTCTCATATTCTTGTAGTCATGCAAAATAAATGACATTTCACACCATCAAATTGTTCTGATATATTTGATGGATGTGGGGAGTTGGGTGGAGGACACAAAGGGAATTTTTTTATTAGCCATATTAAATAACTTTAAGGTACCAGTAGTTAACAAAATGTAACCTGAAAAATGAATTGTGGACCCATTTTAATGTAAGTATTAGGACAATGTAAGAAAAAGGTCTTCTTTATGTGTTGTCATAGTAACCAGCTCAACTTTAATTACAGGGAAAAAGATTTGTATTTTCATTTTATGCCCAATTTTATCATTGAAGCAAACTATTAATGATGGAAGAAACATAAGCCAGACCTATTTTATTGAAAGTTTTAGTGTTAATCTGAGACGTTCTATACCAATTTAATACTACCAGATAACAATTTGCTAGCTAGTTATGGCTTATGTCATGTTAAAATCAATGTTACATGAAATTTTCTGTTACCAGATGAAAAAGTTCTGAAAAGGGGAGATCACATATTTGATTTGACTGGAATTATTGGACCACTGCTTTGCTGTTTGTCAATGGAGTTTTGTTTAAATGGGGTTTTTTTATTGATTGGTAAATCAAAGCATGTCGGAAGACCTTTCACATTCGGTATGACTGATACCTAGCAACTTGCAGGTTGAAGTTCCTACATCAGGTTGAAGACAAAACTCAATCTTTGCTCAAAGTAAAGTAAGCAACTGGAAGAAGTGTGTTTAGGTCACTAAAGTAATCAATACACAGATTTTCCCAGATGACCCATCGCTAGTCAGTGTAAAATCCAGTTGCTCTAAGATTTTACCAAAATTAAATTTTTCCTTGTTAATGATTCTGAAAAGGAAGGGCTTTTATGGAAAGAAGACCATAACAACCAAGACTACACTGGGAATTGAAAATGAGTTAGCTGATGTTACATTGTGGAATATTGAAAATTTTACCAGAAAGGTATCTGATGTGCAGACACGAATAACGCTAAAGAAAGGGTCCAGCGATTTGACAAATGTATCTATATTGATAGTATATCATCTGAGATTAAAATAAAACATTATTTTTTGAAAATCAGTTGACTGGTTATAAAGATATGAAATTTTGGAAATTCACACCTGTCAGTATAGGGTATTTTCTTTCATGTGCATGCTATTGACTTGAAATTCCTTAAGATAAACTGAGAAAGAATTCCAATAAATCACCCCTGCTGGAAACCTGATATTGGTTTTTAAGATGTGTCTGCTAGGAAATATTTCTTCAGTTATTTGATTTATATGAATCTAGGAGTTAGAATTTATTGGTTAGATCAGTGAAAGATTGTGATATTGATAGGTTAAAAAACAGAATATTTAATATTGTGTATGGTGAGTCAGTGTGTAACACATCTATCAAATTATTACAGATTGGTTAATTTTTCTTGCAAATACACAATCCCATTGTGTAAAAAGGATGACATGAAAAAAATCTTTTACTTTGAGTAGGCTTTGGCATATTTTAATACAGGCTAACAAAAAACTTTGTTTTGTGGGTGAGGAAATGAGATTGGTATTATTTATATCTGATCACAATCAGATCTATATTTGGGTCATGTAATCAGAAAATCAAAATCATACTTTGGAATATTTAATAGCTAGAATAAAAGTGTTCGTATCTTTTCAAATCGATCTGTGTTTTGTCAGCTTTCAATTTGTTCATGTTCGCGAACATAACCCTCATAACAAGTGACTTTATTTGATTGGTTGATATTTCCTACAAATATTTCATGGCCAATTCTGATTGGACAATGTTTGTAATTTTCCTACTTCTTACCACGGCCTTGGGGAAGTATTTGTGGTTTGGACTTAATGGCATCTGTTGTTGCCCTGTCAATATTATCTCGTTGTACTCTGCTTGGTCATAAAAAGTAAAATGTTAACTGTTTTTTTTCTGATAATTTATACAATTTATATCTCAAAGTCAGACTATGATTATGATTTTTGCCTTGAAGCATTGATAACAATCATATAAAGTTCAGTATTTGAATAAATAAATCTAATTTTGTAAATTTATTTCATATTAAGTTATTGTATGTACTAAATTTGTGATTCATATTACATATCCATACCCATTTCAGAATATCAATTGAATACCTATTTGTCTGCAATTGCATAAAACTGGGAAGGGACAGGCAGTCAAAGACAGTTTAGTCTTTTTAATCTTTTAGTAACATTTAGTATTTATATGATGTCATTGATTTGTTAAATGAAAGTTCTTCAAACATTAAATCTAGTACTTTATAATCAGATCAATTAGTTACGATAGTTAAAAGTATGTTGGATGATCAACAGAAATATATAACATACAGTGATGTCAAAGAGGTTTATAAGCCTTGTAAGATATTCTAGAACAATTAGGCATTAAGAATTCTATACAAAATATAGACACAGCTTTATGGAACAACAATCACTGGTAAAAGTTTTATGCAACGTTTCGACGTGTTTCCCCCGTTGCCCTCAGACTCAGGCACATAAAGCTGTGTCTATATTAGCATACTCACAATTACTACACGCCATATAATAGATGATAATATCAGGATGATACATGATGTATCACACTCATCAAAATTAAAAGCTTTTAATGTATCATGAAGATAGTATTAAAGAATAATGAGACAGAAATATTTGTAGAAAATGTATCTGTGTTCTGTTAAAAATAAAACATTCCGGTAAGGAACTAGATATTAAAAATATCAGAACATTGTTTGAAAATATTCTTTGGGTTAAAAATTTGATTTTTTCTTTCATGTGAAATTTTTGATATTTTATTTATAAAGATAATTGCCAACTGTTCATAGATTATTGAATTCGGTTATTGAATTTTTTTGTGCCAAGAGGTAACTTTATTTTTTTCGATCATATGATATAATTTTGTTTTGGGTATATTTGTTATGCCTTGGACATATTGATAAAGTAGTGTGACTAAACATAATTGTGTATGGTGATTGAAGACAATTCTATTTTAAATGTGTAAATAGATGTTCTAATATGTCTATGAA